TTTCTTATGATACTTTTGGGAAACGCAGCCCTGTTTGAATGCACTGTCAGCAGTGAGTGAATGCTCTCTGTGATTGATTGGTTCTGTCTTGCAACATTTGCGTGTGTTCAGATGAGCAGGAAAATAGTTATATCCTACACAATTACTCGCTAACAAAGGTTATTCGTCCAATTCAATGCATATTGTACGCATTATTATTATGATTATTATTATTTTTGTTAATTAAACAAAACCACTGGTAAATAAAACGCACCTTAGTATCGATATTTTTTGTTTGAGTATCGATACTTTCGATACTCGCGTCAGTATCGAAATATCGATACTTCGGATCGATACGCCCATGCCTAATTTCATTTTCCACTCAAGTCGAGTCAGGGGTGTGCAATATACAGCATCGTCTCTGATAATATGGTAAGTGTTGTTGTCATGATGTGCAATCAGACATGATCAAGTAGGCTATATCACCAAATCACACACAGAGTGCACGCACGTTGAATTATTAGTTTATTAAAATTCTAAATTCAAGGCATTCTAAACTGTAGACGGCAAAAATGCTTCTGTATGATTTTTACAGTGGCGGCTCGTGGGTTTTAAAATGGAGGAGGCACATTAATTGTATTGGTCTGGGATCCCTGCCGATTATTATTATTATTTGCTTAACCACTTTAAAGTGGCTTTTTGGTTGCTTTTAGTCAGAAAACGTAAAGAAAACGACATACAGAGCAAGATAATCTAATTTCACTTACCTGGCCTATCACTTGAAGCAAACACCCATCCCTTCTTAAAAGTGTGTTAAAAGAGAGCTGCCTGTTGCGTCATTTAATTAAGCCGACTGCTGTAGCCTATATCCAGCTTAGGCTGTTTTCCCTAAATTTGTATATATACTGTTTGAATGACAGCTTGGTAAATCTGTTGGCAATCAAATATACGCTGGTACATTATAAGCGCATCGGCAGACGTTCAAACTAATATCACATAAGTTCTCTATGATGCTTGGTTGATATCAGAAGGGAGGCTAGCCTCCCTTACCAGGTTTCTTTTCTCAACACTCTCAGCGCTGAACGTGAACACTCGATGGTGATTGGCTGTTTTTGTTTTTTTTTTACCAACGGAGGCACGAGAGCTCAGCCCTCTTCCCGGCCTCCCCCTACCATTCTATATCACCAAGCGGTTGTAATTACATCAGCAGATTCGGTACATTCGCGATAGAAAAGCGGCGCTTTCACGTTATGGTATTACAACTGTGAAATTACAAACAAAAAATACACATTCTGAGACATGAACTGAAATGAATTGTGAATTTTATAAACATTAATTCCTCCTCCCATTTTCACCTCAAAATTACGGGGAAGCTGTGCCTCCCCCGACGAGCCGCCACTGGATTTTTATATTTATATAATTTAATATAGTTAACAATCTATATCACACAAAGAGTACCATTTTTCTGCAGATATCAGCATGATATTTCAGACATTTAATAATAATTTTATACAAGTTCAGTAAAGTTAGCAATAATTGACTTACATTTTAGACGTAATATTGCTTGTTTTTGCTCAATTTTGCCAATGAAAATAGTTCCAAACAAAGATCACAGTACTGTTTTGCGTCTCTGAGCAATGGTGCTTACTTATTGAATGAATCAGCTCTTTGAACAAATCGTTTGAGTAAATGATTCAGTGATTCACTCATGAACACTGTTAAATGCTTTGTTCTTGAATGAATCAGCCGTTTGAATGAATCGGTTGAATCTCAATGACTCACTCATTAACAGTCACTTGCTGTCACCTACTGGCGGTTTTAATTTCACATTTCGACTATTTTTTTCATGTTTTAAATAATTTCAAATATAAGTATTCAACGTTTTATGTTACAAACAAAACATTATTTATCCATCTGTAACTGCAAGTTAAATGCATCCATGTCCCATCTGAGCTACATTAAACTGTGTAAATACATCTAAATGCTATTTCAGATGCAGATTCCAGAAATGTTTTCTTATGTTGGAATGAAAGACAATAAGTACCAGATGAAGTGCTTCTAATTCTTACCCAAAAATACAAAATAGAAGAAAGAGTTAAAACTGAACAGTTTTGCTACTCAAGCTGTGTATGATTTTTTTTTTTATATTTATTTGCTTCTTTTCCATTTTGCATTTACTTGTACTTTTACTTTCAATACTTAAGTACGTTTAAGATTAAAAAAATACATTTTGTAGTTAAGTACAATAAATATCGTACTCGGTTACTAACGTAACCTCGGTTCCCTGAGATACGGGAACGAGTACTGCGTCTTGCTTAAGACGCTTT